GTCACATTAATTCCATTATCTAGTTTTCCTGAAGGAAACTTGGTCATTAGAAGTTTTAACTTAAGTTTTTATTATCTTTACAATCTTTATGGTATGGTAGTTTCAAATAAGTAATCTGCTTTGGTAATATAATTTATGAGAATCAAATTTAATCTGAAGGTTAATTCTATCCTGTGTTTTTTCTATGCCGAAAGCATCAAGTTTTACTGTAATTGTTCAGATCAGTTGAACAATCCTGTGGACTTACAACAAACAGTTGAAACTAAATAGGGTAATAAAATTTGAAGTCTTTCAGCCCTAAGCAGTTTAAAATCGGATCCATAAAATTTTCTGTTAAAAGTTGGTTATTCTGTGTTTAAAAGGGTTGTTTATTTATTTTTCTTATTTTTGCTGTTCTGTATTTTCTAAATTTTCTGCCATTAATACGTTACCTTTCATAAGAGAATAAATTTTATGAAAACACAGGGTCTAAAAGTATTTTGAAATATTGTCATGGTTACAATATTGTGTAGTGATCATATTTTAAAATTTTATACATTTATAAATAATACTTCACTTTAAAACACATGTAATATGGTAGAGCTTGATATATTTTAATGTTCACAAGTGTTTTATCACAGGGCCTCAATTCCCTTGATGTGGGATACCATTTGGCATATAATTCACTCACAAAATATGTGAACAACTACAACAGTTGTAAACAACTAAAACAGTTAGACCATGTTGATATAGCCTTGCTGAGTGATGGGATAGACTCACTACCACATAAGTGGACCCCTCCTGCATACCTATCTGCCACCTTCTGAGTCATTCCTCAGCAAAATATCGATCATAGACCTATAGGCTTACTTCACCATGAATGTTACTCCTGAGAAGCCAGTGAACTACTGCATTGAAAATAGAATCTCTAGTTGGTTTATAGATCAGAATTCCTCTAGTATGACAGACCCCATAAGAAAGATGATTCAGTGAGATTTATGTGAATTTTTTAAGGTAGGTAAGATTAATAATTAATAATAATGTGCTTTTAGAAAAATTCCTATAGGTCAGCTATTATGGTCACTGTTATTAGTATAGGTATGATTCATGAGATGATCTATAACTTTCAAAAATCAGGTAGTTTATTAAAGATTCAAGTGTCTAGAAACATTCACATAGTATTTTCCATTTTTTGGTATTCTAATATGCAATGAATTGCTTTTACTTTTAGAGAAGTTATGTAGTTATTTTGCTAGTACAGTGTGTTCACTTAAAATTTATTTAACAATTTTTCTAATGTTTTTCTTGATAAAAGTACACTTTTAAAATATGCAAATTCCTGGGTTTATAAGATTTACTTTTCTCCAGCTACTTTTTATGTTTGAAAGAAAAGGGCTTTTAGTTCATCAGTTTTTTTTAGAGAAAGATGCAGTTCACCCCCAGGCACAATATAGGCTGTGCTGACACAGGTACCATGAAGAGCTTCATTTATTCTAAAAGCCCCGTTATTGAAGAAAAGGAGGACTTTAAAATCACATTTATTAAACTTGTTTGTAATAATTCCTTAATAAGACGATGATCTTACTTTTCTGGAATATAGCTGAGAACTAAGAATTAATCACAGAATATTCAGAGAGGCCTTAGTTCATGTCTTAAGTTCAGTCTTTTTTGAACTTTTATTTCTTTTGAAGCGTAATCCTTCTCTCCAGCCCACTCCCACCTCCCCTAATAAAAGTTGGTACAGATGCTGGATATATAAAACAGAAGGTCTGTTGAAGCTGGGTGGGGAAATCTGGCATTTTGCCAGCTCAGCAGCAATCACATTCCACACCCAGCTCCCACAGCACCACTCCAATAGCACCATGAATCATAGATTAAAAATCGCTACTCTAGTTTCCCTCCTACTGAAACAATCTGCTCAGTGATATTTCCTATTGGTGGACACACAGTCTTTGTTTTAATACTTCTGATACCTGGGAACTTAGGATAGTAAGTCCATCACATTTTGGGCAGTTCAGATTATTAGGAAATTCTTATGTATATGAAGCCAACTTATCTAATTATGCTTTGATCTATTTTCTGCTACTTTTTAAAATAGCCTAATAAATATTAAAAGATTACTATTATATAATCCTTTTTCCTCAGTTCCCCTTTTTCTTTCTTCCAGGTATAGTGTCCCTAGTTCTTTCAGTCTTTTGAAGGCACTATAATCTTAGTTATTCTTCTGATTTATCACTGGTTTACCAGATCTTAAAATCTGATATTGAGAGTTAAGTGCTTCAGATAGGCGAACCTCTATATTAGTTAGAATTTGAGGTTACAGTGACTTTTTGATTTCCACGTCACACTTTTGTTCATGTTGAAATTAAGGCTAAGTAAAATTCTGAGGCTTTTAAAAAAATTGAACTATTGGCTCATCTTATATTTTAGATTCTCTAAATTAGCTGCCTGAGATCAAGTTTGATAGGGGTAAATACAGTATTATTTTCTTCATCGTCCATTTTAGGGATGGATGAGGTGGCTATGAAAATGAAATTTAGGAGGAATTCTACTTCCAGGAAGGTAAAGTGGACATACTTTCCCCTGTTTCCTCCAGTAAGTATAACCCCAAACCCTGGACCTATAAAACATAAGACTTTGAAAGGTAGGGAGAAGTCTAGGGACTTCAGGACCTTAGGAATGATATGGTGGCCAGTTTCTTGGATTTTCTGGTTGCTTTTTATCTAAAACTGAGTACTAGATAAGCCAATTGCCTGTAAATATCAGCAGGCATGTGCATGTGCCCCAAGGACCTGCCCTCTCTAGCTAAAGGACCAGGAATAGTACCAGCCTCGCAGAACACAAGACTTGTAGACAATATCTGCTCTACTTTAGCCAAATACCACAGAAGCACCGCTGTACCACCACCATCCAGGCCAGAAAAGACTGAATGGAGAATCTAGAATTCCACCCTCATGGAGCTGTAACAGAATATCATAACACCGCCACAGAGTGATATGAGAGAAGACAAAATTGCTGAGACTTCTTTCCTCCTGGCTGATTGTGAGCCTTGTCATTTCTTGCGTTCCAAGGTTCCTAAGCCAATCTTCCTTTTATTCTCCACCTTCAGAATCTTCTTATGTTTGTTTTGGTTGTATTTAGCAAGAGGAAAGTGCATCTACTTTAACCTTTCTGGAACCAGAAATCTCCTTTAAATTTTTTAATGTGAAGAATTGCATTAATAGTTTTTCTAATGTTAATTCATCCATATAGCCTTGGAAAAAATCTAACTTGAACCTCATGTATTGTTTTAAAATGCTTTGTCAGACTTAGGATTTAGTTTGCTAGTTTTTTAGGAGTTTTTATTCTGAGTTTAAGAGCAAAATTTGTCTATAATTTTTCTGCTTGGTACTTATTTTGGTTTTTGTTATCTAGATTATATTTGCCTCATTAAATAAATGAAGGTGTTTTAGCTTTCATTATTCTTTGGAAGAATTTTGCATAAGCTTGGATTCCTCTATTAGGTAGAATTTGCCAGTAAAAACTCTGGGTCAAGGAGGGGACAGTGGTTTGTGTGTGCACAAGTGCAGCTTAACTACTCATTTACTCTCTTTAATGCTATAATTATAGGTCTATTTAGGTTGTTGATTTCTCTATTCTATATCGTATTCTACAGTTGTCAATTTCTTCTGTATCCTCCTACTTAATCTCCAGTTGGTTGCAGTATTTTCTTTTAATGAGACACACTTAAAATAGATGAATTCAACTGAATGGTTTAATAAAGTCAAAACTCCCTGAAGAGATCTAGAGACCAAACTTAAGGCACATATTCATATCTTTATGATGTTGTTAAAAGTTAAGATTCTGCTTAAAAAAAAAAAACTACTCTGTACCCTCATTGTTTGTGAGCCATCCCCCTCCTCTAAAAGATTTGGTACACAGTCATCCCTCAATATCTGTGGAGGATTGATTCCAGGACTCCCTGATCCCCAAATCAGCAGATACCCAGGTCTCTTATACAAGGTGGCATAGTATTTGCATATAACCTATGCATATACTCCTGTATAGTTTAAATCATCTCTAGATTACGTATAATACTGAATACAGTGTAAATGCTATGTAAATAGTTGCCAGTACCTGCCAAATTCAAGATTTGCTTTTTGGAACTTTCTAGAATTAAAAATTTTTTATCCATCCATGATTGGTTGAATGCATGGATGTGGAGGACCAACAGTGTTTAATTCAGGTTGCTGTTAAAGAATGAAACAAAAATTCCATCAGTAAATACCTGGTATTATTTTCCACACAAATGTCAGCTAGTTGGT